ACAGAGTTTATTATATAAGGGGATAATTAAACAAATATGCAGACTGCTTTCACCTAAGCACAAGCATTCAAGTAGGTACTGCTTAAACCATCAGGATGGTACCTCACATAATATTCCATCATATAATTCCATATCTAAATTGTTCAACAACAGATTTCTGGAGTTGATGTAGCAAAGAAGCTCTTTAGAAAGTGCTACACAGATCATTTCCCCAAAAACTTTTACAAACCTCTTCACCCCCTCTATGAGGCTATGGATTTTTATGTGGTTTAAAAGCTATGAAAAAAATCAAATGCATGTTTTAACAACAACAACAAAAAACTCAGAAGAGAAAATACCATGTAAGCTTTAAAATATCTATTAAAGCATCACCACTGAAAAACAGAATGTTGTCGTTTTTTTTTTTTGGAGAAAAGTTAAAAGCACACTTATACTGGGCTTAAAACATTTTTTTCTAGGCCTACACCTTTAAAAGAAAAGGATTAAGTTGTAAAAAATTATCAGCTTAAGATGCATGTTTCAAATTTAAGCCCAAAGCAAACTATTACAGTGATTATAAAAACAGAAGATTGTAATTCTGTGCTGCCTATCTTTTAACCACCCAGACACTAATTATGTATATTTGACAGGAAAAAAATCCCAACAGCAGAAACTGAAAAAGTTGGTGGCAAAGATCTGCTAAGATCTGCCACATATATAAACAAGGATTCATCTGCAGTGAAAGAAAGTCTTATATTGACAAATATCCATGAATTGTGTGCTAACTTTATTTTTTTCTGGGTTTAAGGGCTGCCAAACAAATACTAAATTACCTTACTTCTCACATTTGTGGCATGTAAATGTAACAGACTAAAATGCCAACATGTGAATTCTTTAACTTTTTGTTGTTAAAATAAGATTCTAGATATTTTAAAATCAGTGTTGGTCCGGTGTAATTAACTGCCCCCCAAAAAGTGTCAAGCCATTCAAATCTTTCAAAATATTCAAACTCTGTAATATAGGAAACATTTTCCTAAAGGAAACAATATTTTACAAAACCGGCATCTCAATTAGATCTTACTTTTCAAAGCTAAACAAAAATATCCAAGCAAAGTAGTGACTGTACTGCATACATACGGCTTAGCTCTCTGAATTTATTCATTAATTATCCTACTTTATTTGCTTACAGAGATATTTTGATGGTTTATCCTCTAACTTTCATCATCATAGTTGTGAAAGATTAAAAATTCACTACTAAATTAAAGAGCTATTTGTTTTCTTTGGGGGGTTGGAGGGAGTTCTACCAATTAATGCTCACAATCTTTATCAGCTTCTGATGTTATTCAGTTCTGCTTCTCTTTGAAGAAAGTGTTATATAATTACAAAAGAGATGAAAAAAAGATCCAGGCACAAGCCAAACTATTTCCTATTTTTAATCCTTGATAGCAATTAGAAATTGTAAAACGTTTTAAATATTTAAAAAACACCTCTTCAAACTGACTGAAACTTATCAGAATACGTTAAACTGTTTTGTAGGAAGATCAGACAGGCATGGGACTGCAATTATATATCACAATACCCTTTTCTTGGTTCACAGCTCTATTCATCTTTTTGAAACACTGAAGGACAGATTGGACATAGGGGAACGGATTAGCCACAGGACGACCTGTATTTCCACACAAAAGCCTAAGTGTGGAAAAATGGCACCCTGTGTCACCCATTCTTCAGTTCCTGAAGAAAACATATTCATGAAAACGGTCATTTAAACAGCTCTTTCCCACTCATCTAAGAACAAGTGTTCATTGTTTTCATATATCATTCAGACTGTACAGCAATGTAACGCTACTGTTAAAGTTGCCTTAGTTCTACAGTCTTTTTTTTTCTAACAAACTTAAGCATTCAAACTACAAAACTGGAAAGTGGCATTTTAAGAGACCTGAGCTCATAAGAAAAAGACATTTACAGTATGCAAATTCCATAGCTAATCGTTACAATAGTCTCCTACTCTCTGATGTGACTATTTACTTGCCTTCAAGGAAAAAACATAACCAAAAACACATAACTTGATATTACCCAATTGTAGTAATGAAATTATAGAAGTAATTGTTGGTAAATAATAGTAATATTAGCTGCATGGTAAACCTAAGTCCAAGAGGGCTCCAAATGTATAAATGTAGAAAACAGACCTTAGCATTTTTTATGGTTATAAATAGTTTCTGATCGATTCCACTGACAACTCTCTCTAAAAAAGTGTAAATTGTATAATCTACACTAAAAAAACCCCAAAATATGTATAAAACTACATCTTTACTTAATTTACATAACATTATTTGTAAATCGGATACTTTCTTACACGCAATGCAAAGACTTGGTACAAATGTGTCACTGTACCATCAAACTGTCTCAGGAGAAGTGTCCAAGTAGTTTGATCGGGAAAGACAACCTGACAACTCACTTGATGGTGGTTATGGGCTGTCAACTTTTAACTTCTCCAGAAAAAATAAAATTGAGAGATCCAACTGTTTAATTTTTTTTGCTACACCTAGGCTGCAAAGAATGAACCTCAGGAGCCTACAGGTTTCAAACATGCAATTAACATCAGTTCACCTTTTGCCAATAGTTCCAAAAACCATTATAGTTCTCTAGATTAAGACACTGTATTCTAAACAACGCCTCAAAATATTAATAAAAAATACTTCTGAACTATCAGAAGTAAATCCAAGTGTTCTGGGAAAGGCAGGAGTCATCTCCCACATGTATGTTTTGTATTCAGTAAACCAATACATGGTATAGTCAGAAGATGAACATCTACTAATTTCTCCCTTCCCCTGCCTTCCTTCCTTAGTTTAAAAAAAAATCCTAATCCTCTCATAAAATCTCCAACACATAAAAAGAGATCAGTGAATTAGATATGTAGCAAAAATGTACACACACACACAACTCAGCTACACTATATGGAGTTTCACCCAATTGTATTAAAACTGCACAATGTCATGACACCTAGTGCAGAAGACCTAGGATGTTAAATACTGTTTGACAAAAGCAGTCAAAATGCCAATATAGGGATAACCAAAAATGAAGTCAAGATGATAGCTAAACCAATACAAACAATTATATTTGCAACCTGTGTGTCTATAACAAAAAGAGTAGCAAGAAGTAAATCGGCAGAATTAGGTTATCAAATAGAAGCACTTCAGTTTCCATCAATGAAATCTACAGTAAGAGTGACTACAAATATTGGAGGAAAAGCCAATGAAAAAATGTGCCAAGATACTTGTTGGGTAGCCATTGTTCTTTCAATATATTTTTGAAAGAAAAACAGAGAGAAGGCTATCAACTGTTTTTATTTTGTGGATGCTAAAGAATACTTTCTAGTATAATGTTATAAATTTGTCCTTCTTTTCAGATTATTGGTAGTAACAGAAGTATCAAAATCAGGTCCTGAAAGAGGGCATAAAATTGCAACACATGTAGTGCTGCCAGTGGTGAGTCTGAAATGTGTGGCACTGGAGTCTTCTCTTTCAACTGAGTCTCCTTTAAAAGTTACCTAATTTGGAAGAAGAAACACGAATATGCCTACTATGATCATAGTTTATCAATCTTAAATCAATGAACTTGTAGGCAGTGTTACAATTAAGGCATTTGTAGACCCCTTAAAGGAGAAATCTCTGGCAACCTCCTTAATACAGCCATTTCCATAGATAGCTGTAATCTCTTAACTAATCAAATGAACCAGGGGCTTTCCTGACTTCACAATTCTTCGCCAATGGCAGTCTTTCCTGGCCTGGCGCATCTAAATTATATACCGGTAGAGATCCATCAGCAGCTGCAAGACTGTCACTTTGCCCAATCTTGAGTGAAACTTTGTCCCAGTCGCACAGAAATAGTTCACACATTGTGCCAGCAGCACATGAACCTAGGCGATGTTCAAAGTTCAGTCAGTTTGGTGTCACACCGATGAACATGCATTTAAAAAAACCGAGCTCACATCACTAAGTACTATGCTGCAAACTGCATCCGTTTTTATTAGAGCCGCTTCATTTAGAGAGGCCACCAGGTTTCCCCCACTACTCCCTCAAAGTGTAAACACCTTTAGCACCTGTCACATCTCCGCTTCCCACCGGCCTGAGAAATAGCCAACTGAAACATAGTTTCAGTCCAGAAACCTCATGGAAGAAAAGACAGGAGGAAAGCAAAGAAATACAAGAGGGTTTTTTCCCCCCCAAGAAAAATTCCTGTAGCCTCTTAACCAGGATGCACATTTTCCTCCTTACAAAAAATAAATAAATAAAATAAACCTCCACCAATTCGCAATCGTGGTTTTCCCAACCATGATAGGAAACCTGGGAAGGGGGTGGGTAACAAAAACAAAAAAACAACCAACCAGGAACCCTGAAGCCATGCACAGGCCTCTTCCAGGTTTGGGGCAGAGAGGAAAAGGCAGAAGCCGAATGCCCAGGATCTGCTCTGCCCTGCCCTTTCCATAGAACTTTAGTGCCATCTATTGAAAATTTACTGAACAAAAAGAAAAAAAAAAAAAGAAAGGAGGGAGAGAGAGAGAGAGAGAGAGAGAGAAGAGGATGCCTATTGATTCTGTATGTATACAAAAAAAAAAAAAAAAAGAGGAGGCTGACTTGTTAGCTTTTTTGGCATGCCACTGGTGATCCGCAAACCACGACTAGCGCTTCTCAGCCTCCTTAGCAGCAAAAGATCTCTTCCATACAAAGTGCAAACGCCTCCGAGAGAAAAGAGGCATTTGCTCAAGCACAGGCACGACCAACATCAGACATACATAACACATCCTACATTTGCCAGGAACACAAGTCTAGGGCTACCTACCGTCTAAAGGAAAAAAAAGGAGCAGGCTTTAAAGGAGGGAGGGGAGGAAAACACAGTAGAACCATTGCTGTAAATAGAACATACTGGAAACAATAAAAAAAAATACTAATAATTAAGGCACCTAGCCCAGACCTTTGCAAGAAGAGAGCGAGCAGTGCATGCAGACGTGCAGAGATAATTACCTTCTTTAAGGAACTGAGAGTGGATGATAAATATAAGAAAACAGCAGATCGCTGCTCCTGCTAATGCCCATAAAGCTTTCAAGAGCTGCATCTCGGTTTGAAACTCAGTAAATACCCGGAAAGTCACACAATGAATCTCCACAGCGATGCATCCAGGTTTCCCCCCCCTTTTTTTTTTTTCTCCTCCTCTTTTTTTTTTTTTGCGCCAGGCTCGGCTGCTCCCCGGGCAGGACTCGCACTTCCAGGAGAGAGCGAGCTCCGGGTCTGGGGAGGAGGGATGGGGAAGCAGGGAAGGGGAGGAGGAGCGGGGGTTAAAACAAAGTCTCAAGCAGCAGCGGCACCATGATCTTCTTATGGGCAGCAGCAGCAGCACGGAGGAAGCTGGGTCTGGGCTCCATGAATCAGCTTTCTGTTTCCTCGGGAGTTGAGCAGCATTGATGGCTGGGGAGGGAGGGGAGGGAGCTGGGCACAATTGCGCAATAGCTCCCGCC